GTTTATCTATTTAGATTTTCAGTTTACGGTGACAATTTCGCGGAATTTAGCACGTTCGGTGAATACATCGCGGAATTGATGTGCCCACTAATCACAATTGCTATTTTATGTAAAGATTGTGTTCTTTTCCCCACGTTAAGGCTGTCCAGTTTGTTTGTGTTTTTTTTACACTTCATACTTCTTAGTGTCTCATTGAAGTAATTTATTCAAACACGAGTTCTTACGAAATGCGTTTTCGTGTGTATTTAATCACTGTACGACGACGCGTGTAATTACTGTGAAATCATTAGATCCCGCACAGAAAATAATATTTCAAGCGGCAAGGGAGAAAATTCATCAGAATTCAGAGCAATTTGAAATTCAATGATAGATGTTCCTCAATTTTCTCAATCATCGATTTATTATTTCTATAAATTTTTAGAAAATTTATAGTTTTCGCTCATTTTGCGTCACATATAAGAATCTTCCACGAAGCAATTCATTCAAATTCGAATACATCACTTACTAAACGATGTTTAACTTCGGTTCTCACGGTGAAGTAGAGAAGTTGGTCGTATTTTTCCTTATTCGTACTCCTCGGAGTTTCACCATGTTAATTTATTCAAACATTGTGAATCCATTTGAAACAAGGTTTGCTGCGAATGGCAACAACGTTCCATAATCATCGCAGGAGAAAAAAATGTAAAATTTATTATAATCTCATCCCTCTCGCCTCGATAATGCTTAGTATGCCATTAGCATTAAACATCAGTTAAGATATCAGAATACATTAAAATGAAAAAGCACTGAGGCAGTTGCAATTCCATTTGAAGTGACAATTTAGAATGGATTCCACATTACTTCATTTACCAAACGATTCCAATGGTCTTCAACATTTTTGTCCCTTACTTCCAACAATTTACATTTTTTCCTTCTCTTTTTGACAGTTTTTTACATTAATTAAAAACAAAGTGCTTTATTCGAGTTAATTTTCGTCCAATTTTTACTATTTTCAAATAATTTTGAAAATTACTGGGCTGACATGTACGTTTCTATCTCATCCATGGATCGACGTGAGGAAAATAAAATGTTCTCTGTTAGTTGAAGTGAATGGCAGTGCGACAACCAATGGGTGTGCGGTTTTTTTTTCGACAAGATAAGAATAAATATCTGTACTCGGCACTGTAGGCAACTACAAGAGGTTAGGGCATGTTGACCCTGTGAATTGTGGGGTCGAGATAAAATGGTGCAAAAAAAAATCGTCTAGACAGTCAACTTCCGGTTATGCCCTTCAACATTTGTTGAGAGCAACACCTGGCCCATCAGGATATACCCGAGAAATGGAGAAGAAGGGATTCATCATTGGGATGAAAAAAAAAAATGAGTGGCTGAGAGGAAGGGGGCAGAGAACAAAACGCCAACTCTTTATTTTCATCCCTTTATACTCTTGTGTATGAGGAATATGAAGGGAGAGTACCTCTTAACCAATTCGAGATACGCCGAACGAATATCGATGTACGGTGAACGAAAACCATCACCCTATCCCATCAGGAACATCATCTTCAGAGAACTCTTTCCTTTCGCAATTTAATCTACTGAAGAAAAATATTGATAAAGCCCGTCTCTGATTTGTTATTTTTTTTTATAGTTTCATTTTTCTGACAGTGATATCGAGTGTTGCTCCATCAATAACAGCCACTATCTTTTTGTTTTAAGTTGAATATTAATTCTACACTTGGCTCATTGTTCGTGATAGCATTCAAAGAATTCCCATTAATTTTTAAGAATTGTATAAAAAATGTCGGTTAAAGTTTTTCATTAAATTTTTTTTGACGAAGCCATTGATAAATTGATCTTGAACATTATCCGCAAGTATGTGTCACATGATCATCCCAAAGAAACCTATTGCCCATAAATAAAGAGGGTAACAACGGAACAGCTCTGTGCTGAGTTGAGACTACAACTCGATTGCTGAACGAGGTGTACCCATTTTTTTTCTCATTTTATTTTATAAAGCTATGAAATCACGTCGTCCATCATCCGCGAGTGTCTCCCATTTTTACGATCCTCAGCCCCTCTCAGATGGCCTAAATTTTTCGACTACTCCAAAATCATGCAGCTAAAAATAATAACAACACCAGCATTGGTATAAACCCAGTGTTTGATAGTTTCTGAGAAACACATGAATAATAGAAGAGTGCAAATGTAGAATAAATCATGACGCAGCGACCTAATCACCGGTTTAAGCACTCAATAACAAATCGCAGATACCAATAATTATCACAACCGCACTTTAAACAAAAATGACATAAAAACGATGTTGCATAGGTGGAAAGTTGCATAGGGGAATATCTCGATACTCTGGTAGTTCGTCCTCGACTATCCATCACACTCTCTCCTCTTTTTTTTTGTTTTCATTGGATGTTTATGGAGGCAAGTGGGAGACTAGTTGGCTTGTATGTATGTACAATGGGCTCGCGGTGAGTAGCAAGAATGTTGCTTATCCTCAAACGGGTCACATCCGCGCGTTACACAGCAACCTTTGGGTGAACGACACCAATAACCTTGAGGAAAGTGTCAGGAATGCGCTGGGCAACTGTGCGTTTAGACTGCCACACTAGAACTTGAAGTGTTTCTACCCCTCCTCCCCCATCAGTAGCACAATTTTAATCAGACTCACCCACCCAAGTTATTTCAAACTGGCGGAGGAGGACAGAATGGAGAATAAAAAAACCAACACATTGAATTCTTCCACTCGGATTCTATTGGCCATTTATCGAACGTACTGAAGGATTATCCGCGTCTACCTCGTCGAATTGTTAGCCATCCAATATTCCTTGCTGAATTATCAATATTTTGGAACAAAAAATTCTCCGGTTTCCTTTAGTACGTACCAACGCTCATCAACTACCGTTTCATTCTCATTTATTCTCACATCACTCCCTCTCGCTCTTTCTGCCTTGCGACTTGTGAACGGTTTTTCACACGTATACACTTACGTGTAACACGCAGTGTGCATATATGCGCAACATTCATGAGCGAGTGTATTTTCTTGTGAATGAAAAGCTCTTCCCTGTCGCTCCGACCAATCGGAACAACGCTGCCACCTCGTGGTCATTTTTAAACTCTTGGGCGTTTATTTTTGAATTCAATGAGTCATCGGTGTTAAACCGTGGGTATTATTGACAACAATACCGGTTGGAGTGAATATCGTCCAACTATTTCTATGAGCACTAATTCCTTCCTCTCACCCTTGGTATTTCTACTTTCACAGCGAAATGTTTACGTTTTTTCAGCGGTTGTTTTCTTTCTTGCATCGACTCTGCAAATCCATTTATAGTATTGGGTGTGATAACTCCTCCCGCTGAGTGTCAGCCTACACTTTATCGTTTTTTTTTTCTCGTAAATCCTATCGCGATAAGTTTGAAGTACTTTGAAAGAAGGCGAATTTAAAGTTGGGGGAATACTCGAATTAGAGGCGATACTGAAGAACTTGGTTTCTTCCTAGGTTTAGCTTCAGTTTTTAGCGAGTCATTGCCAGCTTCTTTTAATTTTCATATTGTTTATAAATTTCTGGAAAGCTGTTGATAAAATTTACATGAAAAAATATACCATTTACATATTTTATTATTATTCAATGTCTCACAGTATTTCATCACCGTGGAAGAATTTTCCTATGTTTTTAAAAATCTTTTTCAAAATTTTTTTCAAAACAATAGAGACACGGCTATGGATTTTTTTGGGTCATTGCATAATGATAAAGCTTAGAAACGGTACATTTTTTCACGTCAATCTGATCCGCGGATTCCCAGAAATTTAAAAAACAAAAAAAGATGAAAAATGAAATGATATCGGCAATAACTCCTTACCGGAAAGATTGACACATGCTATCGCTCAATGGCCACCAATGTGGCGCCAGGATGTTTTGCAAATTGAACTAATCGACTTGTCAATTGCAATTGAATAATTTTTAATGTAAAACTGGGTGATAAACGAATTCGCTGATACAGTTGGGGAATGGTTGCTTGACACTGAGTTTCATTAGTACCATTAGTAGAGGAATGTACATGTGTTTGAATAGAATTAAAGCAATGGAAGCTGATGGAATTTATGTAAACTAATGGTGATTATTTCTTTAATTATTCTAGTGTGCCAAAGCATAGACATAAGAAATCACGTGGATCAGTTTTCAAGGCTAAGAGGATGTCGTGTGGTTGAGGGTTTTGTACAAATTCTACTTATAGACCACGCTAATGAAACGGCCTACATCAATCAAACATTTCCAGAATTGATCGAGATCACTGGATACCTCGTATTATACAGGTGAGATTAATGGTGAATTATCATTCTATGTAATTAGTGAAGCGAAATTTTCTAAAAAGCCAATAATGTTAAATTATGAATCAATGAATACGTGTGTGAGGTAAACCGTGATGTTTACGATCATATGAAACTTCAAGGTAATTGATCAAATAAATCCGTCGGAATTAATTAGCGGAGGAATGCTTGATAATTTTCAACGGCAAGATCCAATTATTCGTCTTCAGTCATTGAGACAATTTCCTGTTAACAATAGTGGAAGATAAAGTAGGCGTTACAACTTGCATCAATCAATAGACTATCATTCAAATGTCACTTAAATTTCTCATATAACTAACGCTCCTTGTTATTATTTTGCAGAGTTAATGGCTTGAAGAGCATTGGTCGACTGTTTCCAAACTTAGCGGTCATACGTGGTAACTCGCTCTTTATAGACTATGCCCTCGTAGCATTTGAGATGATGCACCTGCAGGAAATTGGCCTACATTCACTCACCGACATACTGCGGGGTGGAGTTAGATTTGAAAAAAATCCAGCTCTATGTTACGCTGACACTATTGACTGGAACATGATTCTCAAGGACAAGGACAAGGAGATAAAAGACATTGCGCACATTGGAGTAATTCTTGTTTATCTCTCTCCTAATGCTATTCCCTCATTATTTTCCTACATGTTTTTCAATGATTCAGTGGCATTATTCAATTTAGAATTCAGAATTGAGTCTGCATAGCTCGGCATTCATGACGGTTGTGAATAAATAATGGCGATTTTAATTACCACAATTATCCAGGAAAATTGGAAAAAGTTGAAGAGAGGAAAAAGATTCATTAACATTCTCTCTTAGTATTTCCGTAAGAATAAATTCACGAAGCGGTGTTTCCGGCGGAAATGTTGGGAGAGAAGTGGAAGCCAGTTAATTCAGTAAAGAGAATTGGGTGGAAAAAGTTGAATAAAAACTAGATGACCATTACCAGTGTTAGCAATGTTCTGCTTCGCTGTATGCAACATCCTTATTTTCATGTTGCTATTCTGACGATAGCGTAAAATAACCTTCTTTCGCAATTTGTTTTTCGACCTTCACTGTAACCACGTGCATATTCGGGTTGTTTCTATCGTTTCTGTTGCATATGATCAGTGCATTTTAGCTTCATTAGGAAAACAAGATAAAACAAGAGAAATCATAAACATGAGCTATGCAAGGCTGTGGCTCTGTATCAATACTATGGAGAATCGAGAAATAATTACGAGTAAAGTTGCACTTGGGGAATCAAGCTCATTTTCATGATTCAGCTACTGACATCAATCGAAACGTTATAGCTTCATTTTTACTCAACTTTCCGTTCCAATTGTTAAAAAAAATGAAACTGCAGAAAAATATTGACAAGTCTGAATGATAATCGTCTCAAACTTGTGCGATTAATTATTTCTTATGAATGACGAGTTGGAGCAGATGAGAACATAAGTTGAATGAGATAAAATTCAAACAAGGGGTTATCTGCGATGAATAATGTATGTATTGAATTTTTGAGTTCATCTATCTGTTTCGCGCATACCATTTCAATTGGCCCTGTATATTTTCACTCCTTTAAGTATTCGAAATTTGGAATATACTGTGTGAAAGTGAATGAGCGATAAGAAAATCTCATCAACAATAGCCGTTTTGTCACCACTTGGAGAATGAAAAGAAATTTCATCTGGGTGATAATTATTTTTTCGGACTGGTGCCGAATAAACACCATTATCCTGGCTGTCTAGAGATCGCAAAACGGTGTTTATCCGGCCGGTGTAAAAACACGGTCGGTGACTGAAAAAGAGTCACAGTCTGATATTTTGCAGTCCCCGATGTGTTCTCAACTATCGTAGATCGATTTGCGTATAGGCCTCATGTCCATGGAGTCTGCAGTCCTGGAGCAGTCCTAAACTCTATCACGTTGTGATAAGTGACCATAACCTCTGAAAGAAACTGACTTGGTGCTTTACAATTGTTTTCACGAGTATTGAAAATAGAAATTAACTGAATGTTAAACATGGAGGACTACCTAGAACATTTCTGTAATGACAATGACAGTGATATACCCCAGGAAATCCTAGTCTTTGCCAAATCTTTTTCTGATGATTACTTGCCTGAAATATCAGCTAAGAAGAACGAGCAATGTTTCGACGAATTCATGGCCTGGAGAAAATAGAAAAACATTCAAAACATTCAAAACAAGTTCGCACTTGCGATTGATACCAATCACTCCGACAATCGGAATAACTTAATGAGTTTAAGTTATAACAGACCATTTCTTCATTGCTTATCGCAACGGAAAATAAACCGATCAGAATTTGGGCCAACCCACTTACGGAATCATCGTTCAATCCATTGTCTTTTTTAGATCTAGAATCGCCATTGGACTATAGAGGACACATTTCGACGTACAGGTGAATGAAAGAATTTTTTACAATTTTTTTTTCTGGGAGAATTTCAGATAATTTTTTTTGTTTATTGAATTGAAGGTATGATGAAAAGTGTATGAAAAATTTATTAGATTTTTTTATTTTCAAAAATAAAAAACAGGAACACAAGTTAAAACTTATTAATTTCAAACTCCATCATTAAATGATGATCGTAATAACAAATTACAGGTGCAAAAATCCTGACTGACTCTGGTGCTAGCATGACGACTATTCAACGTGCCGGGAGATGGAATTCATCTATTGTGGCAAGAGGATACATTGCATCATCAAAGAGATGCAAAAGACAGATCAGCGAGGGAATAAGGGGATCAATTCATTTTCAACCTGCCTCGTTCATTTCAACCCCGACAACTTGGAAATTGCACTATTAAAAAACAAGATTGGAAACAATTGCAGAACCAACCAATGACACAAGCCTCATCCATGTTGGAATTAGAAACTTGAATAGTTCTGATATGAATGACAGTCTGAAAGGACCATCGATGGAGAATCATTTGCAAAAAAAATACGTTTGAAAAATCCATTTTCACAGCAGACTTTCTCGATCCCCCTGCTCAGACACAACCAGAAACACCAATATCTTGATAATCAACACGTGGCGAATGAAGACACCAATTACGAAATGTGTAAAAACGAAGAAAATGAAGATGTCAATCATTTGAAAAAAACTCCAAGTTCAATACGGACAAACCTAAATAATAATCCATGCCAATTATCAATTCCCAAGGAGCAGACACAATTAACGAATACGCTAAGCTTGAAGTGTATCATAATTTACAATTATGGTAACATAAATATTTATGAAAAGAAATAGTAACTCACGTGATTACTGTTTCAAAAAACACACGTTATGCTGCAAGTAATCATCCTCAAATTTTACTGTTCTTCATTTTGTTCTTTTATATTGATTGGTAACAGAAAAATATTTTTTCAAACCTGTTCAGCTAACGACTAATAGTTATTAAATTTATAAGGTCGTCTATGATGTTCACAAATTGCAATTTGAGAGAAACAGATGAAAACGCATATAATGATTCCAAAGATGAGAAATTGGTGGTATTAAGGTACAACATTGATATGGTTTAAGTTCATTGATACACTTCAAAATAGCTAAACTAGTTGAAAAATGTTATATTTCTGACTCATCTACGAATAATTTTAATTTGTACTACATTTATTATAATTCTTTGCATATTATGTTCATGATGACACATTCAACCATAAGTTGGCGACAAGTGCATTGCTCTTGACTATAAACAAATAAGTCAAATAATCAATATGAGAGCAATTATTTCCGCCCCTTGAACTATTTCCCCCCAAAAATTACCGATTAGGTTACGAGTTCTAAATTTAGGAAGTCCAGAATCGAAATGGTTATAAAAAAATTGCTTGAAGAGTTATTTCTTGTTCAATTGATGATGGCATGCAGACATAATCATTGTTGGCGCCCCACGTCCGAAAAATACTATGTGAGCCAGGCCGGGAAAATGTCGTTTCAGTCCCAGACATAGTAGCAACTCTCGCCTTCAACCCACTATTTCCATGGGACTAGAAAATGACAGTTTTTCCGGCTTGTCTCTCAATTTACTATAAACCCACTTCATGTTATTCTACGTATTCTAAGCCAACCGTAAGATTATACCAAAAAAGCACTCGATACCGGACGCGGCACTGGGTAGGCGTCATCATGATGTTTAACACCGGAAATATCGCGTACATTGCCCCAGAACCTCCTACATACGTCATTAGTAGTACCTCGAAATGTTTGTCTCTTTCGTCTTCATTTCAATACAGACACGTATAAATATCAGTGTTGGCGTATCATTGGATCGCGTTCACGCTGGTGATACTCGGCAAGTTGTATTGGTGCACGCGCCGTCGATGTCACCGTTCACGAGTCTCCCCGTGTCTTTTAAAATCAGTTTGAGTAAACAGTTTTTTTTCCTTTCAAATGCTGCGTCAGATGTAAAATTATCAAGAATAATAATCATCACTGTCGCACGCTAACTTTTCTCCATTGACGCATCAACGTCGTTATTGACACTTCCGTACTAATTTATGTTCTCGTTAAAAGCAATTCATTACCATTTTCTTTTCAATAAGCAAATTAAAGGTTAATGTGCAATAACGCGCTACAACCTAAGGTTGAGAATGTGCGTGCATTTACCATGGTACACTTTTCTCAGCGAGAAGAAATTTCTATAAATATAATGAAACTTACACTGAAATTGAATGTATAAGCAGAAACTCCAGACATTGAATATTGTCACTGTATTCTTAGAAAATACAACTCGTCAAATGAATGATTGTCGAATAATTTGAGCCCTTCGTAAAGAAACAACTCAATATGTAAAATAATCCTGTTCAATGCTATAAAATTTCCCCACGAACTCATAAAATCTGTTCATTCTCCCCCAGGGAAATAAACCACGAAATGGCTGTCCGGTTTGCGACAGACACTGCCCAACTCGACAAACAAATAAAGATGAGACACTTTGTTGGAACAGACAACACTGCCAGAAAGGTGAATATAAATGCATAAGCCGTAGTCAAATTATCGCAACGATTTTTTTTAATGTATCCGTAAAAAATTGCAGTATGTGATAAAGCGTGTGGAGATCGTACATGCGCTGCTCACGATCCCTCAAGTTGCTGTCATACCTCATGTCTGGGTGGTTGTACCGGTGGTTCATCCACCCAAAATTGTACAGTCTGTAAGGACGTATTGGTAGCTGGTAGTTGCGTGAAAGATTGTCCATCGGGTACCTACAAGTTTATGAAACGGCGCTGTATCCAGGAGAACGAGTGTCGAAAGATGAAGAAACCACGGGAGGCGTACAACAACATAAAATACTATCCTTATAAGCCCTTTAACAATACCTGCTTGATAGATTGTCCTCCCGGCTTTATGGAAGAGGAGAGAGATGGTAAGCAAACCTGCAAAAAGTGCGACGGCCACTGTCTAAAGGAGTGCTCAGGTGCTAACGTAGACAGTATTGTATCAGCTCAGAAACTGAGTGGATGTACCCACATAAAAGGCAGCCTGGAAATTCAAATACGAGGAGGAAAGAACATTGTGCAAGAACTAGAGGAAAGTCTTAACATGATCGAGGAGATCGACGGTTATTTGAAAATAGTCCGCAGTTTTCCCCTTATATCACTCAACTTCCTGAAGAATTTGAGAAGCATAAAGGGTCAGTACTTGGACAATGGAAAGTATACTCTAGCTGTGCTGGACAATCAAAATTTGCAGGAGCTGTGGAATTGGGAGACCCATCCCGGCATAAAAATTGGTTCAATAGATGGTGATGCCAAAGTTTTCTTTCACTTCAATCCAAAGCTCTGCCTCCAAAAGATCGAAGCACTGCGTGAAAAGGCTGATCTCAAGGAGTTCACCGATTTGGAGGTGGCACCCAATAGCAATGGTGACAAAGTGGCGTGCAATGTGACTAAACTAAAGACATTTGTGGCGAAGAGAACGGCAGAGGCAGCGCTCATAAACTGGGAGCGCTTTCAGCATCACGATCCCAGATCACTTCTCGGTTACGTTGTGTACTTTATTGAGGCACCCTATCAAAACGTTACAATGTACGATGGCAGGGATGCTTGCGGTGGCGATCGTTGGCGTGTTGACGACGTAGCCGCTACCGATAGCTCCGAACCCTACTTGACACACATACTTACACAACTAAAATCATACACCCAGTACGCTTATTACGTTAAAACGTACACCATTGCCACTGAGCGCTCTGGAGCCCAAAGTGATCTCATGTACTTCACAACACTGCCAAGTCCACCCGAACCACCCCGGGTCCTTCTCACTTGGAGCAACTCGAGCAGCGAACTCATTATTCACTGGACCGAGCCAATCAGCTTCAACGGCAATCTAACGCATTATCGTATTGTTGGCAAGTGGGAACCTGACGATTCAGCCTTTCTCGCCCAGAGGAATTACTGCGAGGAGCCAATGCATCTGCCTGAGAAAAGAACAGAGGCTGAACGAGTTGAGGAAGAGCGCAAACGCGCCGAGACTGAGCGAGAACTCACAAAACTCCCAGAGCAAGCAGCATGCGACTGTGCTGATCGAGAATCTGATCAGTTGATGAGGGAGAAGGAAGTGTCGAGCTCCATAGCTTTCGAGGACGCACTGCACAATCGAGTATATATCAAGAGGATTAATAACCGAAGAAAGAGAAATTCTAGTGGTTACTCAAGTGCATCTATTGAGGATGACCCCATCTACGACGATCTCTTTGGAGTCAAGGGGGATTTCAGTCCTGGATTGCTCAGCACCTCGTTACGCAAACGTGCGGTTAAATCTCCGGGTGATCAGCCAGCTCCCGATAAATTTCTCAATGGGGGCATCATTGCATTTGAGCGTCTTGTACCCAGTGACAAAAAGTCATTCGTCATGCGGAATTTGCGCAATTTTGCTGCCTATAATATTGAGATCCAGGCGTGTCGTCAGCAGGTAGCCAATGAGAGTGATCTCTGCTCAACCAAAACTATGAGGACGTATCGTACACTCCAGCTTGAGGGTGCTGATGACATACCTGTAGACTCCTTTCGGTACACTATTATCGGGGGAAATAGTAGTCAACAAATGGTGAAATTGGAGTGGGACGAGCCCAATCAGCCGAATGGAATTATTGTGACTTATCACATCGAGTACAAGCGCATTGATATTCAGAATTTTCAAGTGACACCGATTTGCATCACTCAGCGGGACTTCGCGGCGGCTGGCAGGTCTTATATCCTTAAGAATCTGTCAACTGGCAATTATTCAGTGAAAGTGAGGGCTACCAGTCTCGCAGGGGCTGGATCTGATTCGGAGACGAAGTACTTTTACATTGTTGAGTACAACACTAAAGGAACTTTCTGGGTTATCTTCTGGTCTGTACTGGCATTCGTTGTTTTTTTGGCACTGAGTGGTGTCTGGTTCTTTAAACGAAAACTGATGCGCAATATGCCGAGTATGAGGCTCATTGCCACTGTCAATCCGGAGTACGTTAGCACGGTTTATGTGCCGGACGAGTGGGAGATGCCCAGGAAGAAGATTCGATTACTCAAGGAACTTGGTAATGGCTCTTTTGGGATGGTATATGAAGGACTTGCTAAAGACGTTGTCAAGGGAAAGCCAGAAGTGAAATGCGCGGTGAAAACTGTCAATGAAAATGCCACAGATCGGGAGAGGATTGAGTTTTTGAATGAGGCAAGTGTCATGAAGGCTTTTAACACTCATCATGTAGTTCGGCTGTTGGGAGTTGTCTCTAGGGGACAGCCCACTCTCGTTGTTATGGAGTTGATGGTCAATGGGGATCTCAAAACTTATTTGAGGAGTCATAGGCCTGATCAGTGCGACAGTATGACGCATTTGGCAAAGCAACCACCGACGTTGAAAAGGATACTCAGGATGGCCACTGAGATAGCTGATGGTATGGCGTATCTTTCGGCGAAGAAGTTTGTTCATCGGGACTTGGCAGCTCGTAATTGTATGGTTGCTGAGGATCTCACCGTAAAGATTGGCGATTTTGGAATGACTAGGGATATTTATGAGACGGATTACTATCGGAAGGGGACCAAGGGACTACTTCCGGTTAGGTGGATGGCTCCTGAGAGCCTCAAGGATGGGGTTTTCACGAGTTCTTCAGATGTATGGAGTTATGGGATTGTTCTCTGGGAAATGGTTACACTCGCGTCTCAACCATATCAGGGGCTTTCTAATGATCAGGTAAATTGTTGGTGACAATTTATTAACTATAGCTCTCTGATTATCTTTATTTGAAGTTTGTTTCATTGGATAATCATGGAATCTAGCTAAGAATTTATCGGATTATAACGATTAGTTAAGAGATTAAATAGAAGATTTTTTGATTTTTTATTTCGAATAATTGTCGTATATGAATATTTAACTATTTCTGTACATAATGAAGAAAATACAATGAATTTCGGAAATTCAAGGAGTTTACAACTGCCTTCAGGTATTGAGATATGTAATTGATGGAGGAGTAATGGAAAGGCCTGAAAACTGTCCTGATTCGCTCTACATCCTGATGAGAAGGACTTGGAATCAAAAAGTCAACAGAAGACCGACATTCATTGACATTGCCACAATGCTGCTGCAAGAGGTGGATCTCGAGGGCTTCTCGGAGGTGAGCTTCTACCACAGTCCAGAGGGAATCGAGGCGAGAAATCAAAATAGTCAGAACTCACCAGGGATTGACAAGTAAGATTTTCACAAAGAATAACTCTCCAGAAGGCAAGTGTCTTCAGTATTCAATTTGTGCAATGAAAATTTGTAAACTTGTTCTAGGGACTTCGAATTATCCCTGCAGGAGCTCCGTGAGGACGAGATCGAGGAGGACGAGGACTCCCCTCTGCGTCGGGACTTCGATGATTTTGCTAGCATCGAGCCAGCGTGTTTGAGAAACAGTGCGAATTCGCGATATAGCTCTGAGCCGTGTGGTGAAAATTCGAAACTAGTAACAAACTTCCATGACTTTAATTCTTCAAAGATACCATTAAAAGCGGGCTTCGATGATTTTGACGGTGTATCCGGTGGTTCCCTGAGCTCAAGTAAAGATACTCTGGATTTTCCATTCGTCGAGGATAGCCTCAAGTCGGTTAAAAATTCACCGTCCATTTTGAAGAACAGTTATACACCCAGGGAGAGTGTTAGTCCTGCTTCTGGTAAAAATTCATTGAGTCCACAGAACAGAATTGGCTCGTTGACGAGCAATCGTGGACGAAATATTCAACATGCTAAAACTCCTGATTGCCAAAATCGTACACCCGAGGAAGTTTCGTCGATTGAGAATAAAGACACTGTCTCCCTGAAAATAATTTTTCCAACGCCGATAGAGGTTGAGGCTGATATTATAACAAACGACGATAAAGACAAATCGCCAGTTGATTATACTAAAAAACCAGAGAATCTTAATAACGGTTATATCAGTGGTACCACAACGTAGTCTTTGTGAGTTATGTGGAATTCAAAATTCAGAACTGATACAAGATTTTATACAGATCACTTAGAGTTTGGAATGACAATGTCATTGACATCCTAATGTTGATCACTGAACATTATCGACATGTGTGTAGTTAGATTTTTTCTTTTAATATCATCGTAAAATGAATCATAACCTTATTGAAAAGGATAAACCATTTTTCGTATACCTTTTTTGTTTCTCTTACCGCGATGGTATTTAAAAATTGTACATGCAAATTCAATTTATCCAAGTGAAATTAATCACATCTTCGTAAATTCGATGCAAAAACGAATTGAAAGGGCGCTAGGACTCAATTTTACGCTTTGCGATACTAATTAAAAACTCATCGTTGAGACAAATTATCGTAGGAGGCTAGTTGCTTTTTAAACGAGAAAAGAAAACATTAAAAAAAAGGACGTTAGGGCTTGAAGAATAATAACTGGCGTAAGATATTACTTTCCTAAGGTCAATATTTAGGTTCGTTATCAATATCTCATGGATAAACAATTAGCATTCATTTGAAACAGCCCTTACCATGCTGATAATATTATTGTTTAATGATCAAAGCCAATCACGGTATGATATTTTTTTTTATTCAACAATTTGATTGAGAAAAAAAACAAGGAATATGCTTTTAATTATTAATATATGAGAGCATATAGACTGTCTTTTTAACCCAGCGAGAGTCAAGATTGATTAACGGACAAATGAAATACTGACGCTCCCCTGCTCCCAATTTTAATGAAGAATAAATCATTTGGAAATCGGAAATAAACTGAGAACTAATAATAAAATGGAAGATAGAAAAGGTGAAAATGTACATACGAGCACCGCAATACAGTTGAAACTAGATATAATGAGCCTCAAATACAAGACTGATTAGCTAATCCCCTCCCACCTACTCCCTTCCCTGTATAATCTCATCATAATCCTCTTCCCTTCCAAGTAAGTGAATGAAAAAAATATGGAAACCGTACGAATAGTTCCGCAACGTTTTTGTTCTTTGTTCATGCATTGAAGAAAAAATTCCATTCTTATTTTTTCTCCTTATTCACTTCGCAACATGCCTGCTTTGAGTATATAAACAAAAAAAAACAGACGACATATTTTTCAGCAAATAATAATGGTAATTAATTCTAGTACCAGTGACCTAATAGAAAGTACCTACATTTATTTTCAACGCTTTACACGTTATTATATCGTAAAAAATTAGTTCGTTGGAGATGAATTTAATTAACAGAGAAAAAAGTTGAACGAAAAAGCTGATGATGGTAAAAATTTGAATGAAGAAAAACCATTTTTTGTACAGAGTATAAACGTAAACGTATCAATTGTAACAAAGTAATGAAAAGAGAGGAAGAAGAAACTAATAAATAGGAGAATGAAAAATGTAAATTTTCTAGTAATTAGTCCATATTTTATCCTAGAAACCCTTTTAACTATTTTAACTATAATTTATCAGCAAGAAACAAGTGCTTCTAAGACAAGGTATTTGAGAATTAGACTCGATATCAAAAGACCTTGCCATATTCTTGGATTTTACCTGACGTTATGCGAAAGGGATACTTCAATTTATTTTCATTTATTTCCTCTATCCATCACATTTTCCATAGAATGCGGACAATTTATATAGCCTTCCACATCTTGTGGTGTCACAGGAAATCGTTGGACACGATCTTGCATTAAGTCGGAAGAAAACTGGAATTATTTTCAATGAGAGTACTAAATAATAAAAATATTTCAGAATATCTCAATCAGCTACAATTTTTTTTCTTCGTGGAAGAACAATAGAGATCAACTTGATTTAATAAAAAATACTTGGGTCACACTCACGTGTGAATGGAAGAGTACCATTCATATAAATTCCGATCTCATTTTGCCCTCCTTGAATACTGTATCGTACGAGCATAAATTATTGCATTATAGATCTACAATTGACATTCGTCAATTAATTTCGCGTCGTTTCCCACAACCTTTTGCGATATTCAACATTTTGCCTCAGTTTGAATTTGCATAATCCTCGGATAATTCGTCAAGCAAAACTTTCGGTAATGTCTTCATGCGCGGAGGGAAAAATACTGCAAAGAGTACGTGAAAAGTACGTGGGGCGAACAGCGAAATGGAAAAAAGTACTACACGCTAAGCACTACGAGTTCACGAAAAGACTACGTGACAGTACCGTCAATTTTCCGGAGAAAATAATAAAATTTACAGAGCATCTCTTATTTTTTATCAAAAATCACAGAAATCTTTCTTCAGGCCACGATTACGTGACTAGTCACGTACATTTTCCTGTATTTTTCACTACGTGTGTCGTTAAGTCATTGGGAAAACTAAATAATAATATACGTATCACTTCTATCTCAATCAATATTTTTAAAAAAACATCGCAGAAGGTTGAAGTCGTTCTGTATAAGAAAGTGAAATAATGCCTTCAAATAGTCTAATAAAAAAGACGTAAAAATTAATAATTGCTAGTG